CAATAGAGTCAGATTGAACAGGCAGAGTGATACTGGTCCTGTAAAACTGCTTGGGTTTTCTTTTGACTCTGTCCTAAGCTGGAGTGACCACATAGACTCGCTCTGTTCAAAGTTAAGCCGAGTAATTTTCTTTTTGCGAAGTCTTAAAAGTTAGTGACATGCCTTTTGTTTTTCTTATAGTTATTTGTGCAACTAGTGAGAAAAGTGAGCAATTGACTCACTCGAGAGAAATCCTTACTCACGAGCCGTAGGCGAGTGAGGAATGGTTTCTCGAGTGAGGCAATTGTACTTTGAACTCGAGTTGCATTATACTTTTCCTACAGTTACTATAAAACAAATAAATTGGTGAAGAAACATAACCTATTTTTACACAGAAGTGAACTTTTAACATAACATTTAATGTGAAGTGACAAATACAACAGTACAACAGCTGACCAGCTGATTTACAGCCAGTGCTGCCAACGTATTTCGCGCGCATACGACGTTGCCTGCATGTTACACGCTCACTATTTCGTGCCTTCACGTTGCAAATCTGGAGTGAGACAAATTAATTAGAGTGAGACAATGTTAACATTGTCTCACTGATGAGCGAATTGGCCACTTTGCTTTCTCAAATCAGTGAGAGAACATGTACATTGTTAGGTAACTGTAGGAAAAATATGTTTTCCTTGCTTTTTCCAATCTCACATTGGTTATGGTGCGAGGCTGTGGGGTCATTCCAGCAGGACCCACAGTGTTCTTTTGTTGCAAAAGCAGTAAGAATTGTATGTAACACTCCAACACTCGACACCGATCCCATTGCAAACCTTTTTAAAATGTGTGGTGCAATGACATACAGTTGTCCTTATCTACATCTTCCAGTGCCTAGGCCTACTGCCTAGTTGCCATAAAGGAAAATGAGAGTGTGTTTTTAACGAACAGTGACATCCATGTACAACACTAGAAATAGAAATAATCTACACATCAATAGATCTAGGTTAAGCTTTAGTTCTAAATTGTTACCCTGTGTTCAGGTATGAGGTTTTCTAATCGCCTCCCAACAACCGTAAAACAGTTGTTTAAAGCTAAATATTCAAAAACCATAAAATCATGGCTCATATTAAACCCATTTTATAGCATGGAAGAATTTTATGAAGAAGACCTCTCTAGCATGATATTCTGTATCTAAAATGACTTCATGTTTAGTTTTGCCTTGCATGGTGTGTTGCTTGCAGATGCTGTTTGCTTTGTACTTTTTGCTTTCTATGCTAGCATGTTTGCTTTTTTTTCGTTATTTTAATTTAGTTAAAGTTGTGCATGTTTTATTAATGCTTATGACTTAGCCTACATTGCTTGTACTGTACGTATTGAATGGCCAAATAAATGATTTTTTTGTAAAATACACCCGCTGCAGCAAACCTGCCGACTAAGTGAATTACCATTTGTCTGAATTGATTTTCATTTAAATATGTTTAAATAACATTAGGTTTAACGAGTACCTAGGTTTGCTGCTACAATTAAGGAAACGAATAAAGTGTGTTTTTAGTAAAATATTAATAGCTTAGTATAAAATAAATAAATTTGCCAAGTTTGATCAAAATGTATCCATAAACAAGTAAACTACAAAATTGTTCAATATACCGTAAAAATAACATGAGAATTTTAAATTTACAATTTTTTGAATTTTCTCCGTTACCAATAACCGTACAAAAATACTTTAAGGGGTTTTTAAGGGTGTTCCTTAAGAAATTTCAAAGTTGGCCGCCATACTGGAAAATGGTGGCTGAATTTCAAAAAACGAAATTCATATTTTTAACTTCCACAAATCATAAAGAAGTGTCCCCCATTTATAGTTTTCTTACCGTTTCAAATATCCCAATGGTGGCCTTCTTGAGTTGATCACCCTGTATATATAGATAAACAACCAAAGATGAAAACTAGAATAAAAAATATAAAGATTCTTCAAAGTAATTACCCCAAATATAAGTTTGATTGTAGCAGTAATTTGGAATGTACATGCCACACAAAATATAAATTTAATTTCCCACTTTGTCATCAGTGACAAAAAAAATAAAATTAATAGTGAAAAATCATTTTAGTTTCTCATAATTTCAGTATTACACTGCAAAGCAAAAGACCGGTTTCACCCAGGCATCCCTTCTGAGTTTTAGCTCATTAGGCACACCCAAGATCCCCCAGCCGTCAATAGGTAATGGACTGAGTCAACACTTGGGTATATATTGGAACGGTGGTACTCATCTTCATAGCGAGAACTTAATTCTTTCTCGACGAGTTTATGAAAACATACGTTTCCTACACTGTTGGACTTGTTGAATTCCAATTATTAATAATATTTTATTAACTTTTGTAGGACTATTTAGAATAGTAGACGTTTATTACATATTCTTTATTCTTAAATGCACCTAAATATTCGATCTATGCTACCGACACTTAGTTCTAACGAAATCCGCTAGGTCGCGTTGCTGAACAACGTGTAATTACAGTACAGTAGGAACACACTCTAACAATATAAATTTATATTAGACTGTGGTAGGAATAAGCGGGCAGTATATAGCAAGTTATTAGCTCTCAGGATAGACAAAGCCATTGACTTAAAAGTGTTACTATGTTTACATCAATAAACTATTTTGATATTAATAAAAATATGTAATATTTGTTTTTGTTATTTTTTCAATTTTCCAACTATTTTTACCAAATAAAACCTGCTCAGTTAATGTAATGGTATCAATGTATGCTTTCAGACGCATCGTACAATTATATATGCTCTTAGGCCTAGCACACAAAATGTTAGTTTTATTCAAAACTAATTAATTTCCCCGATGAATCTAAACTTAGAGATAAGCAAGAGTGTTAACCTAAAAATGGAAAAATAGTTTGTACAAACTGCAAATGAAGACTCCGAACACTCAAAGACGTGTTTTTTGCCGAATAATAAAGTTATGGCATAGCAATTACTTTATGTTCTTGAGTCTAGAGTATATTTATACGACTACGAGTGATTTTGCTATTAGCTTTAAACTGAAACACAATAAAAATATGTATAAATAAAAATCATGTTAGTATAAAACTATTAATTTTTTAACTATAACCAACCTATAATACACCTGCCACAGCAAACCTGTCGACTAAGCGAATTTCCATCGGTCTGAATTGATTTTCAATTAAATCTATTTGAATAACATTAGGTTTAACGAGTACCTAGGTTTGCTGCTACAAGGGAACTAATAAAGTGAATTTTTTAGTAAAACATTAATAGCTTAGTATGAAATAAATAAATTTGCCAAGTTTGCTCAAAATATATCCATACACATTAAAACAAGCAAACTACAACACTTTACAATATTCCCCATAAGAATAACATGGGGATTTTAAATTTACAATTTTTTTAATTTTCGCCGTTGCCAATAACCGTACAAAAACACTTTGATAGGGACTAAATTATTTGTTTTGTCAAGCTCTTTAAAAAGGCCTAGAGATAAATTGGAAAATTTTGTGTTTTGAGAGTCGAAAATAACAAAACCTATTTTTACCCCATAAACCCCCGTTTTGTAAAACCCCGTTCCCATCATGATGGTTCGTGATCATGGCCCGTGATCATGCTGTTTCGTGAACTCATTCAAGTTTATCCTTTTAGGTACATCTTTAAATTCTATGAAAATCGGGCAAAAATTAGCTTTGACTATAGCCTACAATGTTTATTGTTGTGTTAGCTTATCGTGAGAAAATTGATCACGCTTTTAGACTTCGATATCGTATAAAAAGAATGCGAAACATCTGGTACTGTATTTGCATTAAAAAAAATAGGTAACACAGATTTTTATGTAACAACAACTTAAATGAGGCCCTGGCTAAGTAAAAGAGTCGATTTGTCATGTCCTAAATGGTTAGTCATTGATTTTGCTTAGTCATAAGAACATAATTTAGTGACGCATTTCTTATTAGATACCCTGATTCCTGACTCTCACATATACAGTGTGTGTTACATCCGGTGGTCTTAAAAATAAACACAAGTTTAAACTCATTACATGTTTATTAATTATATTGCTTAAGGGCTGTGCTTGACTTACATACATCGAGTTACTCTACGACAAAGCTACGACTTTAAGGAGACAGGGTAGGTATCACCATAGACTAACCGACACAAGTAGACTTCTCATCCCATTGTAAATTTTGAAGCTCGTTTTTATGGAACTGGGCGCTAGTGTCGACGAAATTTTGTTTCTATTATTTTAGGGTTAATTTCTTGATTTGTGCTTTACTGTTTGGTTAAATAACTAGGGGACAATTTATTGTTTATGATTAGATCGTATTATTTGGTTAAACAAGGTTTTAAATGACTGTATTAACGGGAAACAAATTGTAAACAAAACACGACCTCCACATAAACCGTGCAGAACTAACAATAAAATTGTCTTCAGCTGTTCCATTAGGATGAGAAATCTACTAAGGGAGTATGTTTTATCTATGGTATCACTAATACCATAGATATTTCCCATCCTTATGGAACAGCTGAAGCCAATTTTATTGTTAGTTCTGTCCGGTTTTCTGTAGATGTCATGTTTTGTTTACAATTTGTTTCTTGTTATTTCAGTAATTTAAAACCACCGTTTAACCAAATAAAACTATCTAATCATAAACAATAACTCGTCCACTAGCTATTTAGCCAAATAGCGAGACACAAATAATAAGAAACTAACCCTAAAATAATAGAAACAAAATGTAAACAAAACACGACATCTACAGAAAACCAGACAGAATTATCGAGAAAAAATCATCGATAATAATGAATGTTCCCTTTAACAGGAAAGTACCATTTTATCCATGGTTTTGGTTTTATCTATGCTAATACCATCCTAATACGGGAGTATGTTTTATCTATGCTAATACTATTTCTCCTAGACTCGGGTTCTGGCCACAATCACTATCTTTACTTCGCTCTAGGTCTGTTCCATTTGTCTCATTTGATCCAGCTATTGTTGGAAATAACATGTGACTGAAACTAACTTGTATTGCAATTTTATTTGAGGTTAAACATTTGAAAGAAACATTGTTGGGTGTAGATAAATTTAAATATCTATTTACGTTTCAATTTTAGTTAATACCAAATTGACATGAAAGTTGAAGAATTGTACTCTGCAGACAAAGATAGTCAGGTATGAAAAATCTATTGTGATCAATATTCTATTACGTATAATTCGTTGTAGGACATCCTCTCTCGTTTCAGACTTTTTAGTACCGGTAAGTATTGTTGATTATAACAACACAAATTGTTAAATGGTTAACTTCGAAATTCCATTTTAGCTGATAACAAGGGAACCGTAAAAAAATCGATACTATTATTGCTATAATATTTCGTATCAAAGACAAATTATTTTCATTAGTTAAACTTAGGCTACTCTCTAATCATTAGCTCAAGCAATTATTTGACGAGAAAGATAGTTGTTTCTTTGTTAAAAAATCTAAGGACAATCACAATAGTTACCATTACTCACTCCTAAGTTTAATCTTTGTCTAAGTTTAATCTTGAAAACTTATTCCATCAAATAGTCAAATAAAAGTTGAGCTTGGTTTTATACAAGTACTTTCTGCTCCTAGATTGGAGTTACATTCCAAAGACAGCCGTTTGAGACGCAAGTTGGCATATTCCCAGAGGTAAGTCCGCTGAGGGAGTGTGAGAATCCTGCAGGAATGTCTCAGAACCCCGGCGAGCCTCTGGAATCTGCACTGACGAGTATCCAGGTAGAGGAGGCGCTCTGCAAAGCTGTCAAACACCAAGAGGAAGAAGGATTTCGGCCCATACCAGTCAAAAGAGTTGACGGCCAAGCTGAAACCCGTATTCAGGTATACTTTGCAGGTATCCGAGGCACTTAAGCAATACGTGCTTGTGAGGAATTGGTTTTTCTTTTTGAAAATTCATGTATTGTTATTATGTAAAAAAGCTTAATTCAGCGTTATCAAAGGGTAAACATCAATAGTCAGAGCCTGATTTTCTTTTCAACAACTAAGGCAGCTAGGCAGCATTCAATTTACCAGTTATTTTGTTTGTTATTAGTTCTAAAAAAAAACTAAGATAATTTAAACTCTGGCAACTCATCTTCCCCAATTTAGAAACAGCAGATTTCGGCTACCTGTCTACTTTGGAGGTTACCACATTTAAGGTAAAACCTTTTATAACATTGAGAATCTGAGTGTTTTACAATAAAATAGTGTCACAGGGAAGCCATTTTCGAATAAATAAAAACTTCAAGATTAATTTTGGAACCAGTTGTTTAGGATTTCAAAATTTCATCAATTTTGGCATAGAAAATTTAATGTTATTATTTAACTAAGCCCTACTGTTCTTTCAAGGCTACGTATTTCTGCGCTTTGATGATGGGAGTAATTATTGATCATTACATTGAACGTACACGGCCCATTCCATACATTATACAATTTTCTTTGAAACATTTGCAGGATGCTGACACAGAAGCAGAGAGGGATGATGTAAACCCAGAAAGATCACGCCATGAAGAACTGCTGAAGGAGATTGACACAGAGGGAGGGGAAGCCAAAGGAGCCAAAGTGAAGAAGGATAAGAGAGACAGCACTTTGACGAGAATGAAGGATAAGCTGAAGAGCTTGAGGGGCGACAAAGGAGAGGGGTGCGAGGAGGGAAGGCCGGTCACAAAGTCTATGAGTAAGATCTTCCAACGCATTAAGCCCGTGGGAAAAGCCAGTAGGGAGAGCTTCAGCAAAGTGTTCCACAGGATCGGAGATGCTCTGCAGAAAAAGGAAGATGACAAAGAGCCGAAGGGAGAAGACAAAACACTGTCGCTAGACAGAAAAGAGGTCGAGAAAAGGCTGAGGCATCAGGACTAAAGAGCTTGCAATTTATAAACCGTATGTGTTATACCTAGGTGTTTTTAAGTGGAGACATTTAAAATTACATGTTTGGATTGTGTTGAATAAGTGTTGCCGCTGTTAGTTTCAATCATTACTTTAAAATGATTATTTTAAAAATTGACAGTTATTTAGACATTTATTTTCTTAAGTGTTACACATAGGTATAAGAAAATAGACATTTTATAAATTGTCTTGTTAGTGATTTTAAATAAAATTATTAGGCCTAATCCAATAATCATTATACTGGAGTTTATGATGAAAGAAGGAGATAATTTTATAAAAAGGAGAGTTTTAAATTGCGTGAGCAGGAATAACTATTAATGTGCGAATTTAAGTACCCCTTCATATTTTTTTCACTAGTCAAAGCATGAATCAAACGTATTGATCTAACTTATTTATTAAAGTAATTTAACGTATTAAATTAAACGATAGCACAAGGATAAGTATTATTTTCGTGATTATAAATTGATGAAAACGAAAAAAATCAGTTTTGTTTGCTGTGATATTAAAAGGACAAATCAAATCAAACTATAATACACAGTTTAAGACTCCATCGATTGGTGGATCAAAGATAATAGTTTTAATTCCAGCTAAACTGGTGCACCCAATTACCATTAAGTTAAAATTCTTCAACTTTAGTACATTATAGCAACGAAGGCTTTGTAAAATAGTAATTTTCGGGCTCTTTAGAACATGCCACACACCGTGGCGAAATGCAGAATTTAGTTTTAGTATAAGAAAATCTAAAGACATTCTTTAAGACTATCCTTATTGTTATATCTGCCGTGGTGAAGATTAAAACCATGACATTTTCTTCTCACCAATAAATATTTATTCCATGTAATAAACATCCTTATATACAGGGTGTCCCGGAACTCTCTACCAATATTTTAGGGCATTGTTCCTGGGTAAGAAACATATCTGAATATCATATTTAAATTGTCCGGAAGTCCTTAGTTACTCAGATAGCCGCCATTTTGTTTTTTTCACTTATTATTTTTTTTCTGAAAATTGGTTAAACATACGAAGTTGAAACTTTGCACAAACATTTATGGCAACTAGACAAAGCTACAAAAAAATTATGACGATTTTTCAAATTCATAAAACAAAATGGCGGCTGTTTAAAGTTTTGTTTCTTGAATTACTCGAAAACCGTTGATTTTAAAAATTTTTTACAAGAATAATTTTTTTAAGGCAATTTTATACCAAATCTATCGACACCTTAATCTTTAAGATCGGACGAGTATTAACTGAGATATGGCAATTTTAGTGATACGTGACCGCTGGATATTAGTTGCAGCGCATGCTGAAAGCGGTCACGTATTACTAAAATTGCCATATCTCAGTTAATACTCGTCCGATCTTAAAGATTAAGGTGTTGATCGATTTGGTATAAAATTGCCTTAAAAAGTTATTTTTGTAAAACTTTTGTAAAATTAACGGTTTTCGAGTAATTCAAGAAACAAAATTTTAAACAGCCGCCATTTTGTTTTATGAATTTGAAAAATCGTCATAATTTTTTTGTAGCTTTGTCTAGTTGTCATAAATGTTTGTGCAAAGGTTCAACTTCGTATGTTCAACCAATTTTCAGAAAAAAATTAATAAGTGAAAAAAACAAAATGGCGGCTATCTGAGTAACTAAGGACTTCCGGACAATTTTAATATGATATTTAGATATGTTTCTTACCCAGGAACAATGCCCTAAAATATTGGTAGAGAGTTCCGGGACACCTATAATACGTGAAGGCGATCTCTACGAAACACTACTTCTCCGTTAATAATGGACGGATTTTTACAAACTATGTGTCAAAATGAAGTATTGTTTGTGTAGACGCCCCCTTTCACCAATTCCTGTAATAAACGTCCTCGGGCTTTGCCCCAAAGGCCATCAAAATCCCAATGTATTTCTTATGGATAAAAGATTTTGTTTACTTAAACCATAGATAAAACATCTTAAACGGACGAATAATTTGTAATTATTTGTATTGTATAATTACAGCTGTTAATAGTGAAACACATGATACACACAAGAGCGTTAGTTTTCAGTTTCAATAACTGGAGTGGAGTGATTGGTTTTATTATCTTTGAGTTGACTCTTTAAAGTCATCGGAAACTATGAGTGTTATTCGTTTTGAAATAACGCCCGTAATTATTAGCTATTGCGCGAATTCGAGCAACAGGTGCACTAGTTATTTAAAACTCCGAAATATTTAAATTAAAATAACTCCAAAAGAAGATTATACAAAATTCCTGTTTTGAATGTAAGGACGAATTTCCCAACAACACGACCTCCTTGCTGTTTCACCCATTCTTCTCGCTAGGCAGGAGGCAGGATGCGTAGATACATTTTCCACCAGAATTGACATTAATTTTACGCGATGTACGACTCCATAAGCATGTCAGTGCCGCCATCTGTCTTAGATTATCTCTTGGGGCAGGAAGGATATTCCTCCCACCCTTGGGCCAAGTTCATCTGTCCGGGAAGCAATTGCGTGGCTTCCTGATTGCTTGAAGGCTCCGATGGTTGTAGATAGCCGAATTCACAGGTGTACTGAGAGCTTTAACCACAGTCCACGCTATCACTCGCATCTATTATTCAGCGACCTTCGTCAAAGTCCACCGGACCGAAAACTCCTACTCGGCGTCTCTGGATGTTTGGAGGGGTGCAAAGCAAAACTATGTAGACTAGCGTATGCCACTTTGCACACAAAGTGTTAAGAAAAGCAATATTAGTCAGGAAAAAATCACATTGCTATTAATTAAGGTAAACTATTACCTCAAAACCACTCTTACCATGTTTGTAAATCTCGCCAAGTTGATGTTTCCCAGGTCTGAGGTTTTTATTGTATATATAAAATATTACAATATTATATATTCTTATTTGATGCCTGTCGCTAAACAACACTACTTGCGACGTTGCCAATTCTACCAGGCCGCGGCCTGGAGTTAAAGGTGGCTGTAAATACAGGAGACCCAAATGTATTTTGTCATTGCCGGGTCAGCAGCATCGAACACTCTATAACTACAAAAGTTGTAATTAAATTTCGATGATCCCTGGTCCTGGTCACCATTCATTGACAGTACAACATGACAAACCTATAAAGAACATCTGAAAGCATACACTTCATATGACATAGAATACAAAAACTAACCCAACAATGTCCTGGTATGACAGTAAAAACATTTTACAGAGGGAATAATGTTAACACATGGAGTTTATAATGCGTAACGCTACCGCGTTCCTAGATAAACCATTTTAAATGCGCTGCAATTATACACAACTACGTTGCATGCGTTGTAATTATCGTGCATGTAGCTGCGCTGTGATGGATATCGTGAATACACGCTCGAGACGGAAATATTCGTTTGACCGTGGAAGTGTATAAGGAATCGGGAACTATTTGATATAAAACTGGTAATAAAGAAATATATTGGTTGAATCGTTAAACAATCTGGTGTATACCTGTGAATTATCCATTATAAAGATGTTTATGTTACTTAGGGGTGCATTTATGCGTAATTAACTTAATGTCAATACCTCTTCGTTCACATGATCCTAAGCTAATATTTGAACATCGAAAAAATTATTTCTCTTAGCATTTTTGCCTGAGGCACCTACTTCCAAAGTTGTTTTTAATAATTGTTTACCAATTCGTTTTAGCTCATTAAATGGTAACCATTCAGTTTCTATTCAGGGCCCAAGAATCATCAGTATTTGAAAAAAATGTGTCAAAAGCCTTTGCTTCACTAAAAGCAAAAATATCTCCTTATATCAATGACATATACACGAGCTGCCGAATTTCGATTTTCAAATAATTATCGTTTTACAATTCTTTTAACCAATCATATATTTAAAGACTATGTCCAAAAGTTTTAAAATGTTCTAAAGTCATTCCTTGAAGCATAATCATTCCGCTAAGCAAAGAGAAGAAATCTACCATCTTGTTGCCAATTAACCTAGTCCATCTAAGACTTTGGAGTTTTTCACTCTCAAAAAGATTAACTTAAAACGAACTTTGGCTACATTAAAAGTCAGAAGTGGGATTCGTTTAGTCAAACTTAAATAAAAAACAAAAACAGGAGACATTGACAACATGACTGATCGAATGTAGATGAAGGGTAAAACTATTGAAAAATAGTTTCTATATCTGGTACTGGCCCCGCCTATGTGAATGGTCAATGGACGGGCGTCGTCCCCTCTGCCCTTGCTTCTCATTGTTTGCTGTGCGTACGCTAATTTGCCGATTGTCCGTTTCCGGAGCCCAAAACGAAACCGGAAATGAATGCGGTAATTGTCTGTTATCCTAAATGCTGAATTAACACTGATCACTTGATAGTACATCGGACTGAATTGAGAGGGTCATTTTATTTGGCTGCCAACCGCCAACTATTCATGATGGTAGATGGGACTGCAAAATGATCAAAAACCATTTGAGATAGTTTGATATTTCAGATTTTTTACACGTGTTTACAACTGGGGTGGTAATGGAAATTCTAACCATTCAGGCTTTCTTCGATTAGGCGTTCTAGGTGTCTCGGAAGGCTCCCTCATCGATGGGAATTCAGGCTTTGGAGTATCAATCAATCGCCCAGAACAGAACTCATTGGCAGTTTGGGATGATTCTGCACCATCTTCCAGGCAGAACGTATGTGGCATTCCGGCCTGTGCCAATTTATGTTTAGACAAATGAACAGTAATTTTATCTGACTTTCAGGCGCTTCTCAAAGCACTCTTTACTTCAAAGCTTGTTTGAAAGTGCAACAGCCCTCTGCAAGCTTGCAACATGCTACTATGTGAAGCTCGGTTGAGTACTCGGTATAGGTGGCAATGAGTGTGTAGATGAGTTGACAAAAAATGTAGGAGCATGCAATTCTTGAATCCTTGGATTCTTGGGCTCTTTGAGATTTTATGTCGTGGTACTAGCAAATCAACCGCAAATCACCGATTGGTTCAGGTAACACACCTCGTGCGTTGGCAAAATCATCCATGAAATCACTTACTAAACCAACCGGCCTTACCCTAACTACGGAAGAACATCAATTCTTGATTACATCAAATTCGTAATATACTCGTACCTGTCGCAGCTGCAATCCCATCCCAGGCAGCAGAGGATGATCCTAAAATTGTCTCAGTGGGTATCATCATTGACTATACACTAGTCAATGGTATCATCCAACTGGACTTCATAAAACTGCACTACAGAGAGTCTACCTCCTTCCAACCTGGCTGTTGAAGCTGGGTGCTGGGCAGAGGGCAGAACAAATCAGTAGACACGGCCATATCAGGAACCATAATCACAATCTAGGAATCACTGACAGCCAGGAGTTTCGGCTCTGCAACCAGTCCGATGGGACTGCAAAGCACATCATTCACTATATATAGTCACTAGTGTCAGTCTAGTAGTCAGGCATTACTGTGCCTGGTTACATACTGTATCGCCAAGCTAGTGGATTGTATCACACCATTTCAATACTAAACGTTGCGAAAAGTTTGTCTTTTAATAACTGATGGAAAAAGTCCGCAGTAATCCTTAAAATAAAATAAGCTCATTTCCAAAAAAAAAAAAAAAAAAAAAAAATACTTCCAGGAATTATATTAGTTTTTACTTACGTGTAAATACACGCGCAAAGCATTATAGTGTTGTTTATAACATGCAACTCATCAATCAATACCCAGGAGATAAAAAAGATACCTGCCAGCTCAACCAATTAACAACAATATCCTCAACCAGTAGTCGAGTAATTATGGGCAAAAAATTACAATATAATGATTACCAAGCTGGTGTTCAGCCAGCGAGTAAACGCAGGTGTATGACCACAGACGAGGGAAACTAGTACCAAGGTTAGGCGGGAATTTCCCCTCAAAAGCGGCGGCAGATGGTTTGGCGGGCAGTAGCCGCGCGTCTGTCTCTGACCCAACAACAGCTGATTGTTAAATAATTAACAGCTGATTTGCCATGTCTGCCCGCGGATTTCTCAGTGTTTTCGTGTTCGGTGCCCTATCAGTGGTGGCCCACAGTGCTTCTTTCCGTCCGAATATTGTTTTCATTCTGGCCGACGATTTGGTGAGTTGAAATGAGTTTGTTTATTTTGAGGTGTTAATAACAAAATACATATAAAGAGAGAGTAGTGAGTAAATATTACCATACTAAGAAATAATCTTAACATGGTGGTTATTATTTAACTTTGAACTAAAAATTAAACAAGAACCCATACAAGACAGAAATGCGTTCGTAAGACGACTGCATTTTAGTAATATATCAAGTACGGGTTTTCATACTTCAAACATGATCCTTTTCATAGTACAAGGTATTAAAAAAATACCATAGTTGTATTTGAAAATAATAAGACTGCAAATGTAAAACAATTGTTTAACACAATAGTAATTCGAATTGTTGACTATGTAGTAACATTACCATGGTTAACATTAAGAAATGTTAGACGAGTGTAGTTAAAAAAATTATAAAACCCTTATTATTTATGTTGATATAAACCTCCCTTTGTCTGTATTGATATTACATTTTGTTGTTATTAACTATTATAACCCTATCTAATGAATAATAATAATAGACAGCTAATTTGGCTATTACAATATTTTTATTCTGGTTTCAATTGAACGTTTTAAACGATAATACTAAGTTATAAAATCTCAGGGATGAGGTTTCGTGCAGACTTCTGTAGTCTGTAACACTCCTCTTTCTTCGATTTCAATGTTAAATATATGGAGAGTATAGGAACTTGGTGCAAGAGTGCGCACTTAAAGTTTAGCCCCCAAAAAATAGGTTAAACGAATAACAATTGAAACAAAACTAATAGTAAGCAATCGTATGTTAGTTGATAACCAAACTACATTTTATTTTTACAATTATCATTTATGTATCATTTATAAAATAATAATGTTACGACAAGTTACATTTGCGAACTTTTGCCCCGTGTGTGGCAAGAGTTTGCACGTAATGGGGCAAAAGGACGCAAATTGTTTAAAAAAGCATTCAAGACTGAAACAGATTTTATTAGTACAAACACTCATTCACTTAAATACTACAAAAAAAGTTTACCACGTTCTTAGTGACAATTAGTTCTTTTTAGCAGTAATACAAGTGAATTCGCTGCCATCCTCATAATTTGAACAAGAGACATGCACTTGCATGAACTGCATTGGATCCAGTCCTTCTTTGGTGGTTCTTTAGGACAGATAATTTTAGTACTTGATGTTCTTGGTTGTTGAATTGTTCTTTTACCTTTGGATTTCTTCAACGAGGGGTGAACACTGAAATAACATGTTTGGGGTATGCGAACTCTTGCCCCACATTCAAAGTTTTTACATGTAATGAGCTGCTGCTCGCTGTGGCCATTAATGGAACTAAATTAACATGGCTATAAGTAGAGCATCAATACAGAATTGAAACGATTGAATTAATTATTGGAATAACGTATACTAATTCCCAAATTCTAAAATATTAGATCAAACACGGTAGAATTATCTTATCTCATTGTGGGATAAATAAACGGAGAGAAACAGCATTATTGTTGCTGCTCCATGTGTTCATTGCACGGGGTTCACATAGCCTATTTCATAACATATTTTAATGATTTTAATTTAATCTTGACACCGTAGCCTACATTGTATCATAGATAAAAGATACTCACTAGTATATTTATTCACATCCTTTTGGAACAGCTGAGGCCAATTTTATTGTTAGTTCTGTGCGGTGCACTGTAGCTGTCGCATTTTATTTACAATCTATTTCTTGTTATTTCAGTAATTTGAAACCTTGTTTAACCAAATAAAACTATCCAATCATAAATAACAACTCGTTCCCTAGCTATTTAACCAAACAGTAAAGCACAAATCATAAAATTATCTCTAAAATAATAGAAACAAAATTTTGTTGTGACACCGGACATGAACTAGACACAAAAAACGAGCTTCATTATTTACAATGGGATGAGAAGTCTACTTGTGTTTTTTAGTATATGATTGCATTTTAAATTAAGTCATAGTTTCGGATCATATTTCATATCCAAATTTATTTATTAGCTTATCAAAATTATAATTTTAACTGACCAAACATTTTGACACTCGAAAGCGGGCAAGAGTTACGTAAAAATGCAGGGCCATAAATTTATGGTTGAGATCTTTAATCAGCTGAATATTAAATAGCCTTGCGATATAAACTAAGTTGTATAATAGCCTATTATACTTCTAGTTTGTTTGTGTTTCAAAATATACAGGAACCTAGTTTTCAAAATTCAGTAACATAGTCTTTTAATCCCGAAACACCGGTTCATCGGGATGTACCACAAATCAATGCGAAAGCCAAGCAAGTTTGTTATGAAATAGATCCCTTGCAGCAAACCTGCTTGGAGAGCGATCTTCAAGCTGCTTTTTGAGTTTTTTTTTTTTTTGAAACAGGTTAAATAGTTATTCGTGTAACTTGTTATATTTTTCCTACAGTTACTATAAAGCATAGAAATACTTAGCATTTCAAACACTAACACGTTTTTAGTTTAGGTTAGATCAGAGCGTTGAACGAAATGAGAAACACTGCATCAGCTGATCATAGTCGTAGTGTATCTTAAGTGCTGGCAACTTATTTTCAAGCGTACACGGATTAAGTGAATGATAAAAGTAAACTTGTTTGTGTTGTTTGGTTGGAATACTGGAGTGCTGAAAAAATAGTGCGGCAAAAGTAAGTAAATCAAATAATTAGCAACTTTCTGTGCTATAATCAGTGCAAGGAAGCCCACTTTGTCAGGTGACTGTTAAAATGTAAAAGAAAACTGCTAAGACCCACGTCTGACAATCTTTTATAATCTTGATTACAGTATGCTTAATGAGTAAATAGTAACACCATGATCACGGTTACTGCAATGAGGAACACATACATGAATTATTTGGAAACATTTAATAATCACAAAATAAACAAAGTTGCCAAGTTTTATGAAGATGTAGGCCCTTGATGTAGTCCTACAAATACTTACTATCTATGTTAATTACATGTTGTTTCTTCATAGCGACTACATGAGTCAGAACGTACTTCGTTTAGAAACATGCTAGATATTTTTTTAATATACCTAGAATAATAACTACGAATAATAACTAAGAAGTTGGCGGCCTATTTTAACCTTGCATTTACCCGTCCACATAAGACTACATATCATATCTGTGCGTGGAACGTATCCAGCAAAGCAAGGGGTGAGCCGGTACAGTACGAAGGTGAACTGTACTGATAAAATGTTTTCGGCACTCGGCAGTGACCAGGAGCCGAACCCACGACACGTTGCCTTGGGCCCGAAGTCCGTGACGCTACCGACTGAGTCACCGACTCACCTACTTTTTTATAAGGCATACTTTAATAAATTCTCGTAATTATTAGAAAACAAGTGTAGGCTAGTTCTTATATTTACTTAATATTTTTAGGAAGGGTAAATCACTTAATGTCTCATTGTTGGTTTGAAATAATTTTAAGTTAATTTTGTATTACAGAAATGCTGATTTCATATTACCCTATTCCAAAATACCATTCTATGTATCCCGATACACACAGTACTAAAATAAGAACCGTGTTTTCCAATTGTAATAATTAACCCAGAGTTTCTACTACAAAAGACGAGGAATGTGATTTTAATTATCTATTTAAATTTTCTTTTGTAATAAAACCGAGTTGCTTATTTTTAGCGCAATTTTTTGTTTACATTTGTTTGTTGTTTATTTATCTTCATGTAAAAATTACTGAGAAAAGAATTCTCTAATTGCTGATTACATACTTTTCTCTTAGATTCAATATTGATTCATTACATACATATACATATCTTAGTACCTACATGTTTCAAACAATCAAACTGTAATTCTAACCAAATATAGATCCATACATGTCTTGTTTCCCTCCCTAGTATTAACATCAAGGTTATAAAAAAGAAATTAACAATCATTTAGGAAAAATCAAAATTTTTATATTTTCTATATGTCTATTACCAACACCGAACTGTAATTGAAAGCGTTTCACTTTTTACATTTACAAAGTTTAGTGTTTAATAAAACAGTCAGTACGAACATTTCTTTTTCGTTATATCTCACTTCAACCCTCGTTACGCTGTAAATCACGTTTCATTGTGATTCATTCAATCCATTTCCACAAGTACGTACATTTTGGAGGGAACAGTTAGTTAAACAGCTGATGACAGTGGAACAGCTGATTGACTGTTACGTTATTCAGGGCTGTCTCTGCACAATATCCGCCATTTGGAAGGTCGGGTCACCCACAATCTGTTCCGACCTTTGCGCCCGACTTGTCAAATACCTGTCAAATCATCGGTTACTTAAGAGGATCCCACTTCTTTGTTATGTACCATCTGACGTACTCAGATCCCAGCTTCTCATAAGTTTTGGTTCGTGCCAATTTGTGCGCCGGTTTTACAGGAGTAATAAGAAGACTAGCTTTTCAAATTAAGCGGAGGTGTCTTTTTTGCAAAGCTTATAATCTAGCGCACCTGCAAATGGTTATTAAAAATGAATTTCCTTTAGGTCTTCGCCCTCCTCAAGATTGATTTATTTCTAGAGTTAGCTTTCAAAGGTCCAGTTATGCTGACCAACTTTCTTTATAAGTTTGTGAATGTGTGCGTGTGTAGATATAAAATTTAACAAATTTATTCTATTTACCTAATAAGTTTTATAAACAATGAAGTTCGTTCGCTACGCTCACTCACCTTTAGGTTGGAGCTCGTTCGCTGCGCTCACTTGTCTTCAGGTTAGCTCGTTTGCTACGCTAACTCGCCTCCAGGTTGAAGTTCGTTCGCTACGCTCACTCACCTTTTGGTTGCAAATTAGATGTCTGTAGTCATAAATTTAAAAAAAATAATAGTGTGCTGCACCCTGTTGGTAATCCTTGTAACTTAAATGCTAATTGCACATCATAGAACAGAACCAACTTAATTGAAACAGCTGTTAAGATTCATTAATTCCATTTAAATATGAGTACTCATAAGGTTAACATGGGAAACTCCAGAGCCACTGGGGCGGAGCCCGAGAGTCCGATCAGAATAAAAATAGCTTAGTTTTCCT